GCACAGGTGTCAAACTCAGTTCCAAAAGGGCCGCAGCTCTGCACAGTTTAGTTCTAACCCTAATTAAACACACTTGATCAAACTAATCGAGTCCTTCAGGCTTGTTTGAAACCTACAGGTAAGTGTGTTGGAGCAGGGTTGCAACTGAACTGTGCAGAGCTTCGGCCCTCCAGGAATTGAGTTTGACACCCCTGATCTAGTGGGTCTCTGTCATCTAGGAGGCGTGGCTTTGAACGGCAGGGGAGGGACTGTGGTTTAAACATATTATGCTGACCAGTTACCATTAGGCAGATGACCTACTGCACCTTTAAGTACTAGCCTGCATGCACCCCTTCATGAAGACACCTTTGATATTCTCTCATGAGGACATCACAATTCCTCTGATGTCATCAAACTGGTCCAGTGAGAACTACATTTGCTAGATGAACTGAAGCGGTAATCCAGATTGGGATCTGATAGACAGTGAGACTAATGTTTTTTGATTGACGATGTGTGAGTTAAAAAACAATCAGCATGAGCTCAGGAAAAGCCCACGTTTCCTACAGTACGTCACGTCAGAAGAGCGTTTGCTTGATGATCCACTGCCGAGGAATTTAGTTTTATGAGGTGTCACAGACAGAGAGTGAGAACGTCTACGTGCTGGACGCTGTGTGTATGTGAGTGTGTGTGTTTTGATGGCTGGAGCAGGTGGAGGCACAGGCTGCACTGGCTACAAACAAACTGCTGCATTGTTGCCATTTGTCTGACCGCATACACCAAACAGTCATATACGGTATAACATATAGTTTATTAAATACTAAGGGCCCTATCATACACCCGGCGCAGTGTGGCGCAAGATGCGGCGCAATAGTCTTTTGGTAGTTTAAGCTTGGTGCAAGAGTCGTTTTGAGGTGTTGCGCTATGCTGTTTAAATGGCAAATGCATTGGCGCTCATTTTTGCGCCCATAGGCGTTCTGGTCTAAAAAGGAAGGTGTTCTGAGGCGGACCGCTGGCGCTTTGCTATTTTGAGAAACTACAATAGATTTTTCATTAGACCAAAACTAACCCGGTCTAAACTCCGGTGCAGAGATGCGCCTCGCTTACGCACTGCTTAATAGGCACAAGAGAGCAATAGGCAAATATCTTTACATATGAAAAAATGTAAATATTAAGGATATACATAGGATAAAATAAGAATATATATAGAATATAAAGGATTCAAATATATCAAAACATATTATTTTCTAGCCTACATAAATATAAAAAATCACTGCTTTTATGTCTTCTTCATCTCGGGAGGCTTTTTTAGTTCATTCATAACAATTTGCCTTTGTATAATGTTATTATTATTAGCAATATTATTTATTATATCCATATTTATTTTTGTTTTATTAAAAACAAGCTTAGATTTGCCCACCTGTCAGGTTTTAGACCATATGGGGCACAGCATGTGTTTTAGGATATAACTCAGGTTTTTGAGCACACTTCGTTATTATTGTTCATTTATTAGTTTGCTGGAAAATAGAACTGAATTTAGAAATAGTTTTGAAACGAATATTTGCGCTTAACAAACAAAAGTATTTATTTATAGACTAATTGATGTCTGTGCTTAAAGGTTTCCCTATCCAAGAGCGAAAGTGAAAGTAGTTCCATTATCTCTCATTCTCACGCAGTAGATGCTCTGTTTAACAGTTTTCTGTTAAAAATCTGTTAACTGTTTGCTAGTGAAATGCTCATTTTTTCCACTTAGATTTACTTTGCGTCCTGTAAATAGCGAATGCGCTCTTGGTGCGACGCAGCTGGGTCTTAAAGGGAATGGGAGATGAGACTGTAATTGGTTTATTCTTAAAACACACCTATAACTCATTAAGAAAATAAACTCAACCCTTTTAGAACATGCGCCGAAGCGCAAGGCAGATTTCCCGTCCTTAAATTAGCAAAAACGTGTCCTGACACGCCCTGAAAGCGTTTGCGCCCTGCGTTTTGCGCTTTGCGCATGGACCGTCAAAATAGAGCCCTAAACGTCAAATATCATACTCTGATCGTGAAATTTGTAATGCTTATGAAACACATCTATATACTAAATTTAAATGGATTGATTATTGGTGTTAAAGGTCCTGTGAAGTAAGGATGCATTTAGTTTTGCATTAATGGGTTCATTTTGATCTGCAACATGGAGTTCATTGTTGTTTCTAAATCATGTTGCACTGTGTCTGTTAGATCAGCAGATCGCATTCGCAACACTGGAGTCGAGTGGGTCTACACACACAAAGTAGGCCTACCTGAAATTTGAAATTGGAAAAGGCTCAGTAATACATTGGACAGATCCTCAACGGACTGATTTCTTCCCTTTGTGCTGCTGTTTTGAAAGTGTTGCAGATACTGGAGGGCTGCGCTGTGTCTAAGTGATGAATCAAGCGCTTTATTCACACACTCGGCTGCGCAGACACGACGTGTGCCGCTCCATGAATTATTCTGTAATATTAAAATATTCTGTTCTCTCATCTTTCCGAGTTTATTCTTCCGAGGGGAATACTTTGAGTGCTGCGAATAGTTTGTAAAGCTTGGCTCATTGTGGGGAAAGTTGTTGATTAAATGAATAAAAGTGAAAATTATTTAGCCTAATATATCTTTCACTGTAATTTTATTTATATTAATATGTTATTTAACAGATCAGTTTGTGTTTTGATTAGGGCCAATAGGCAAGACAAGGCAAGGCAAGTTTATTTATATAGCACATTTCATACACAGTGGCAATTCAAAGTGTTTTACATAAACAAGAATAAAAGTAACAAGTATAAGAAAAATAAAAACAAATAATAAAAATGATTAAAAAAAACATAAAAAAAGATAAAATGTGATATAAAAGAATGAAAAAGAAGAGAAAAACATAAAAGTGCGATCTGTCGGACATAGCACAGGGCTCATTCAGTAAAGGCACAGCTAAACAGATGTGTTTTCACTGTGTCATAGTGGTTGCCTTTTACATATTTCAAAGAAAAATCTTTATATTAAAAAGGAAATATAAGCTGGACCAAAACAGATCAATGTTATAACGAATCCCCAAATAACATAGCCTAGTTTACGGCAAGTATCAGGTTTTTAGCTAGATTGTGTCGTCTGTCATATACAGTAGGCCTTTAGGTGTGTTATTTTTACTAAAAAAATATATATTATTTGTTTCTCACAAGAACTATACAAACTGTAGTATGCTTAAAAACAACTGGCACAGTATCGGGATCGGATCTGTATTAGTTGATACTTAGAATTTGGGTATCGAATCAGTTCCAAAAAAATTGTATCGGTGCATTCCTACTTAGAAGTACTTTAAAATATGCATTTTTATTCAGTGTTTGAAGAAATCTCAACACAATCTCAACCGGGACATACAGTAGCTCCCCCTCTTTTGAAATAACAGCCAATAGTGTTTTGTTTTGCTCTGCCAGTGGTTGAGCTCAAGTGCATCGAATGAGAAGCGTCTTGAAGGGGGCGGGGCATGTCAGACACTACAAATACAACCTAAAAAGACGACAATACAACACTTACTATCACAATCATCAGCACTTTTAAAAGTTTATTTTACAGACTTATAATATGCTGCTGTTTTATTGGAATTTTCATTCCAAAATGGCCACCACGCCATCTAGTGGCTGTTTACCAAATCGCACTAGAGTGTTGCCTCTTGGTGATTCCAAGCTCTGGGGTCCGTTCTTCGTACGTGGATTACTCAGTTAGCTGGATTTGGATATTGACGATTTGACACGATCCAGGATCGTTTCGTTCTTCAAAGCTGATCCGAGAGTTGTTGTCATAGCAACAGTTCTGCTAGGTCAAACCTAATCGGGAGCAGGTTCAATTCATATAAACAGGATTAGATCGGCTCAGTTCAAGCAAAGATAATACAGAAAGTATGTTCTGAATTCTGATATTTTCTTACAGTAGTAGTTATATACACTTGGGAAAATGGTACATATTTTTTTAACTATATATATAAAGTTATAGTCATTAATAAAATAAATTAAGTTATACATATTAATAAAACTTATGCAATCTCTACCCTCGAAATGAAAGTACAAAGACTGCCACCTGGTGGTGCAAAGAGAAAAATTATTGATATGAACTTTTTAGATCGCTTTAGTACAAATTGTGCATAATAGGAATGGTGGCTTTTTTTAAAGCAATAAAACATTTATGCAGTCATAAACATGTTTTGATAGTTAATACGCCAGTGATTTGATGCTTCACAAAATATGCAGACGCCTTTACCAATATGAAAATGCTTTTGTAAACATCCAGTTATTTTTTACACCGATTAAAAAAACGGCTGCTATAATAAAGAAAATCTTTTGTAAATGTAGAACTAAATACATTGATTTGCATTGAAATACATGATGAATACTCTTGACACATGACAATGTAAAGCCTGCAGCTCACAACAAATGTGGAAGGTTATTGTGTGTCATATTTAACAAGCCGTTTACTGCTAATTTGATGTAATTTTGCTCACATGGATAATTGAATATTAATCAGATGATGTCATTACGCTGCTGTGCCGTCAGCCAATCGTTGCATTGCTGATCATGATTTCGAGGATCGATAGATCTGTCCTTCACAACACACGCAGCGATCGCAGATCAGTTTATCCAGACATTCTAATCTGATTCGCGAACTTGTTTGAAGAACCAAATTAGCCAGAGATCAGTTATCAAGATTAAAAGATCCAGGATCTGCCAAATCATCTTAGATCATTTAAGTGAGGTACGAAGAACGGACCCCTGGCCTTACCAGGCAAAATACAAAAGCCACTATAATGATGAACGCACCACAACATGAGGGTACTTCATCCTTTAAAGTGGTCACCTTTTGAGGGATGCAAATAAATGCTTATGATATAATGATTTATGTATTTTACCATTAAATCAGCCTAAATCAAATGTTTAATCATTTAACATGAATTAAAATGATGTTGTATTGTTTGCTAGATAAGCTCATTTCTGTTTCTGTTATGTTTCTGTGTGTAGCTCCCATACTTGCTCCTAAACTCTCAAGGTCCAGATGCTAAGTCACGCATGTACCCTGTGTTCTATGGAGAGAGCATCGAGGTCAACCCCAAACCTGAAAAAGAGATCAAGTAAGTGGTCCCTTTGAAACCTCAAAAGTCAAAAATGTTCTAGATACTAGATGACTTTACAAAGCAAATGAGTTCAAGACAGATTCTTTGGCATTGATGTGCAGATGGGAGTGTGACATATTGCTGTAAAAAAAACACAAGCACAAAACTGTTTTGAATTTTCCCTAAGGTGGTTTGAAGTTGTCACCTTGATCGTGTCATTAAGTTCAGTGCTTCTATTGGCTCTTGGTTTGACGCTTGTCATTAGAGAAGACACAATGTAGAACAGTGTCTGAAATCTCCTAATACTATAAGAAATTCACCAGAAGGAAACATTGATCACAACAGCAATTAATCAAACCTACTGTAGAAACAAAGACCACAGACTTTAGCCTAGGATTATAGGGGTCTTTGCAAAATTAGTTGCAGACGACTAAATCATAGCTAAAATTACACAATGTGAGGCTTCAGACATGCCATTTTGGCAATAATGGCACAAATACCGGTAAATTGCATAATGCAGCTCTTAGTAAATCACATGACACAATTTAAGAAAATACTCTTCTGTAAATTTAGCATCAACAGTGAGAAGGTAAACATCTACAGATGCAAAGTCAGCCACAAAAAAAGTGTGTTTATGCAATTGGTCCCACATAGAAATCTGACATGTGGCAATATATGCAAATTACACACATTACATGCAAGTTCATATTTGGATTTCACATATATAAAATATGTCCTTTATGCAACATATGTTTTGAAATATTGCACAAATGGCTACTTTCGTGTAGATTTTTTTCAGTCATTGGATTTATAAATACTGTATGTGCATGTCAAATAGTCATTCTTTCAATTTCGTTCAGCTTAGTCCCTTACATACACACTCATACACCACAGCCAATTCAGCTTACCTAATTCACCTATAGCGCATGTCTTTGGACTGTGGGGAAAACCGGAGCACCCAGAGGAAACCCATATTAAAACAGGGAGAACATGCAAACTTCAAACAGAAATGCCAACTGACCCAGCCGAGCCTCGACCCAGCAACCTTCTTGATATCATAGGCCATATTTCAACATATACGTACAATATTTGTACATTTTAATAGTTGGAAAATATATGACAGTGGCTATTTTTGCTATATTTTAATATACATGTTGCATATATTTTATATATGTACAATCTGAAAATGAACTTGTAATTCGCATTTAAGTCCATGTATCAGATTTCTAAATGTGGTAGGTAAATATGATCTTAGTTTGTTTGTTTTGCTGTAATAGCAGCAGCACTTGAGCTGCATGGACTGAACAAACTAGTGTCAAAGCTGATGATCGTGTTTTCCAGCATTATTTCACATTATTCAAAGAGCTTCCCTGAAATAACACCTAACGGTCTGTACAAACATCAAACAATCACAAATTTATTACTGTGCCCTATGGCCCAGAAACAGTACACACTAATAGCTTATTGATCAATTCTAGTAATTTCTATAAACTTTTTTTAAAATCCTATGTTTTTTTTTTTAATTTGAAGCAAATCCTGATAAATTTTCCAGTATCTTAACCTCTATTTTAATGATCTATGTGCAAAGTATAAAGCACATAGCGCAAAAGCATTAAGGGCATGTACTTAAGTGCTATTTAAACAATGTGGTGCAAAAAGTGAAAATTAAAGTTGCGCTTGTAAGAAAATAGCAATAAATCACGCCCAAATCATCTAGCGCCTTATTGCGCCGGGTGTATGATAGGACCCTTAGGGCTCTATTTTGACGGTCCATGCGTAAAGCGCAAAACGCAGGGCGCAAACGCTTTCAGGGCGTGTCAGAAAGCATTTTTGCTAATTTACGGACGGGAAAACCTGCTTTGCGCCAAGGCGCATGGGCTAAAAGGGTTGAGTTTATTTTCTTAATGAGTTATAGGTGTGTTTTAAGAATAAACCAATTACAGTCTCATCTCCCATTCCCTTTAAGACCCAGCTGCGTCACGCCAAGAGCGCATTCGCTATTTACAGGACGCAAAGTAAGTCTAAGTGGAAAAAATGGGCATTTCACAAGCAAACAGTTAACAGATTTTTAACAGAAAACTGTTAAACAGAGCATCTACTGCGTGAGAATGAGAGATAATGGATCACTTTCACTTTCGCTCTTGGATAGGGAAACCTTTACGCACAGATACAATTAGCCTATAAATAATTAATTTCGTTTGTTAAGCGCAAAGATTTGTTTCAAAACTATTTCTAAATTCAGTTATAATTTCTAGCGAACGAATAAATGAACAATAATAACCAAGTGTGGTCAAAATACTGAGTTATTTCCAAATACACCTGCAATGCCCCATATGGTCTAAAACCTGACAGGTGGGCAAATCTAAGCTTGTATTTAATAAAACAAATTTAAATATGGATATAATAAATAATACTGCTAATAATAATAACATTATACAAAAGCAAATTGTTATGAATGAACTGAAAAAGCCTCCCGAGATGAAGAAGACATAAAAGCAGTGATTTTCATATTTATGTAGGCTAGAAAATAATGTTTTGTAATATTTTAATCCTTTATATTTATATTCTATATCTATTCTTATTTTATCCTATATATATCCTTAATATTTAAATTTTTTTCATATGTAAAGATATTTGCCTATTGCTCTCTTGTGCGTATTAAGCAGTGTGTAAGCGAGGCGCAACTCTGCGCCGGAGTTTAGACCGGGTTAGTTTTGGTCTAATGAAAAATCTATTGTAGTTTCTCAAAATAGCAACGCACCAGCGGTCCGCCTCAGAACACCTTCCTTTTTAGACAAGAATGCCTATGGGCGCACAAATTAGCGCTAATGCATTTGCTATTTAAACAGCGTAGCGCAACGCCTCAAAACGACTCTTGCGCCAAGCTGAAACTACCAAAAGACTATTGCGCCGCGTCTTGCGCCACACTGCGCCGGGTGTATGATAGGGCCCTTAGTGTGTGACAAATATTGTCATCGGTACATAAGTACACTCATGTTTTATGTGTATGATGTTTGACCGATGAACTCTATTTCTATTGTCTAGGTTCAACTCTGCAGTCAAGTATGCTTCAGACAGACACTTTCGTGACCAGGTTTACTGCGCCCTGGTCCCAACCCCCACATCCTTCAGTGAGACGATAGTGGCCGTCCAGAACTGCACATGGCGCAGCTACAAGTCAGAGGTTCACTTCCAGCCCCGCCACAGGCCTCTACACTTCCAGAGCACGGCCATCGTGTTCCCCAAACACACCCGGAACACTTACCGCACCACGCTGAACTACAACAGCAACAGAAACGCTGCCGGCCGGCGGTGGTTTGTGTCCACAGTCAGACTGGAGTCCACCGAAGACGCCAGTCCATGCATCATTTACACAGAAGACCTCTGAGGTGTTCCCCAAAATCAATAAACTCCCTTTGGTTAGAGAGCTACAGCTTGAGTATGGGGACTCGGTTACGAAAAGCCTGATTCAAAACGGATGGCAAGAGGCTTGAAAGAAAAGCAAACCTAAAGTCAGTGAGGGCCACTTTGTTCTTTTGCTTCCGGTGTTGATGGTACTTGATAGCAGGGAAGGTTGACGTTTGTGTTTGTGTGTATGCAGTCTTGACATGTGTTAGTAATGTATTTATATACAATTTTTGTTAAATGTTAATATTTAGTCATAGCAGTCAGGTGGAGGGGAAATTGTTTTGGGCAAATTGGTTTCATCTGTTTGCTGATTCACAGGGCCGCATGGAATCTCTACCTGTAAAATTTCAACCAATGATCTGAAGATTTGTGGCCTGATTTACCAACAGCTTGTGTCAGTGCGTTTAACAGTACTGTCTGCATTTACTAAACATATGCAGTAAAAAAAAAATAGTTTAGAAAAGGCATGGGCATGATATTTTTGCACCTGGCCTTACTGAACAGGCATTTGTAGTTTTTCGGTCAGATGCAAATTTTATGGGAGGGGTTTATTTCAATGAATCACCTAATGTGATGTACTAGCGTTTGTGCTTCTTTGCTTGGGTATTTGCACCATTATTTAATGCCTACAAAAGAAGCATGTCTTAAATGTTGCGCTGTTGAAATGGCTGCAGTTGTTGTTGCCAGGAGTAGGCGTTCTCAAATCATTTTTCCACATATTTGGAATCCCAGAGAAACACATCATTCAAACAGAATGTTTGCCAAATTTGTAATTATTAAATTGCTTTGGGAATTAATAGATGACGTGGCACAAACAACTAAGGGGAGTCAAGTAATACCAGTGCAATCTTAGTTCCGTCAGACAGCGTGCAATCTGTTCTCCTTACGTCTGAACTGTCAAAATGCACATCTTATAGTCTAGATTAGGGCTGTTTGATTAATCAAAATCGAATCGCAATTGCGATTTGAAACATGCCATTAGCTGATCGCAAGGTACTGCGATATGAAATATATATATTATTTAATTTCCCCCACACAGAGCAAATGCATGACTGTCGTCTGTGTGTGCCAGTCTTACTAGTCAATTTAGTGAGCACACTTTCGTTCTGCCCAATCAGAATTGCACAACCGAACTATGTGGAATGCCCACAATAAAAACACACAAACCAACAGGAAGGCACAGACGAGTGACAAGTGAGGGATGATGACATTTGCTGCTTCAAATGCATTAATAGACAAAATTAATATCAAAGAAAAACAGGACATCTGTAATATTGGAATATTTTGCTTACAAAATCACAGACACGGAACAAAAGCAAATCTTTTGCAAGAATATATATATATATATTAGAGCTGTGAACCTACACTAGTCTCACGGTTCGGTTACAATTATCATGCCATCGATTCGGTTCAATTCAATATCTCAGTTTTATATTTTCTTTACAGCAGCAGTTTTTGTATTAAAATGTATGAATATATTTATATATTATTTGTAATGCAATTTTGTCGTTTAATACAAACAGTCAGATATATAAACTGTAACTTAAAACAAAACGAGCATTAAGCAAATAATATAAACAAATATAAACATCCAGCTCAATTTCTGATCCTTGTCTAGTTCTCTTAAACCTCTTTATTTGGTCACACCCTCAACAAAAACGGTTGCGATTGGCTCTTACGCGCTGCGCTCTTCAGATAAGTGACACTGATAAGCGGCAGGCGGCAGCGGCGATCTCACATCTGATGACACGCGCTCGTTTCTGTATCCAAAAATAATGCTGTAAAACACCCAAGAGGAGAAGAAAAGCCACCCCAGCAGGTCAAATGGGCCACTGTGTGTGTGTGTGTGTGTGAGAAAGAGAGAGAGAGAGACAGACAGAGCGCGCGCGCGCGCGAGAGAGAAAGAGAGAAATGGAGTAGGCTACTTTCATTCTCTCGATCTCAGTGAAATAGGGGCTATTGTTGTATGTGTCAGTGAAAGACTGATCCAGCAAACACACACAGTGAAATTGTGCACAGTTTATGAGTTTTAAGTAGTTAAAGCGTTGTAAATACTCGCGATCGCCTCCCTCGCAACAGAGCGCATATGAGGTAAATGACGTCAGTAATAACCATTTATGATTATTACAGAACCGATACCGAATTGTCCGCGTCTGCATCGCGGTGCACCGAAGAAACGATTAATTTTGACACCCCTAATATATATATATATATATATATATATATATATATATATATATATATATATATATATATAAGCAACACTATCTCCTAACTAAGACTAACTTGTTTACAGAAAGGTAAAGTCATTTTATTTGTGTTTACTGTTTGCTCTAGAGAAAGATGAGTGTTTCATTTCTGAACATGTAAAAGCAAAATTGAATAAATGTTTAAGTTAGTATCCTTTTAGTTCCTTATTTTAACTAACTTTCTCTGCATTTTAGCAGTAAGGAGCTACAGATTATACAGAATATTGAGCTGAAGCTTGACTACAAAATTAAATTGCAAATCAAATCGAAATCACAATATCTGTCAAAAAAAATTAGATATTTTCCCCAAATTGCACAGCCCAAGACTAGATCATATAAATGCAGGCCGGTATGGCTTTCTTTAGGTAAACATCAGGCATGTGAGCTGAGTACATGTGTGTTTTTTGTCATTGTCTATTTTATGAATATTCCTACTCCTTGGCCAAATAAATAAATAGGTCTACATTAAATAAAACTATAGTTTTGTTCAATATGGGTACCATAGGTGCTTTAACTGAATAACAGTACATTGTTCAGACTAAATTGAACATCATCAATATTGATTATTTTCTTAGCCCCCCCCCCCCCCTTTATTTGTCTAGCCACCCTTAGCCCCAGTAGACACAAACGTATTATAAATATATTTAATTTTGCTCTGTGTCTGGACATAGTAGGTCACCTACACCTTATGAGCATCGGCTCTGCTGTTTTGCCACTATGTTCATTTGTGCAGAGCTTATTGCATTGGTATGTAATTGACATATTATGTCTTCGTTCTATAATTTTCACATTGTTGGTAAATCATCTGCAGAAATGTTCACATCATTGACACTGTTTTGGTTTCAGAATTGCGCTTTCTCACAGATTTAGTAAATCTGGCCCTTAGACTGTCATTTTCTTCTTTAATTTATTACAGCAATTTAGTATATTCACAAACATGCATCTTAAACTTGATTCATTACCTCACATTCAATTTGTAAAAATATAAAGCGATAGAAAACAACAGAATTTTCAAAGCTGTTTGGTAAGATTATAATAGGCACAGGACGACAACATGACCACATATTGACGTTGTACCCTAACGTACCCCAACGTCGTAGTGATGTTGGATTTTGATTGGAAATAAAAATCAGGTTGTCATTTGAACCCAACGTCAGGCTGACGTCAGTGACCCAACGTCCAACCTTAAATCAACCAAATATCAACGTCTAATCATGTTACACCTTGACGTTCCCACTATGACATCTAACAGACGTTGGATATTGGTTACTTTCCAACACAACCTAAAATCAACCAAAGAGCAACGTCATTTGACATCGTTATTGGACGTCAAAAATAACGTCCTTAGATCAGGCATGTCCAAACTCGGTCCTGGAGGGCCGGAGTCCTGCAAAGTTTAGTTCCAGCCCCAACCAGACACACCTGGGCTAGCTAATCAAGCTCTTCGTAGGCATCCTTGCAGGTGTGTTGAGGCAAGTTGGAGCTAAAATCTGCTGGACACCGGCCCTGCAGGACTGAGTTTGGACACCCCTGCCTTAGACACTGGCTAGACATTGACATCATGATCTAAATCTAACCTAATATTAACGATGTTGTGTGCCTGTTAGGAAGCTTCACATAAAAATATGACTTTTTATACATTTTACAATTTAATTATGTCAAATGATGCCAGTATTCCCTAAAAAAAATGTAGAATTGCCATACCGTATCCATGCGAGCCTTCGTTAATATTGTGTTTTTCAGTATTTCTGGTTCTTCCAAAAAGAGTTCATCACACATGACTCAAATAAGATAGAAAGACTATAAAAACGTTAAATGTGGATCAATTTGCAATAAACTGTACACGATACGCGGACTAGTTGCAAAAAGTTTAAAAGTTGCACTTATTGGTTTTGTTTTCTTGATTACGGGCTGTAAATATGTTGAGGGCAACATGTAGGAGCTCTTGAAAGGTTGGACCAAAGATTCAGTCAAATTCATTGAAAGGGAAACACAACCTAAAATATTTCCTCCCTTTCTGTCTGGACCTGAGAAAACGTGGAATCATTTCTTGCACAAGACTTTCAGAAGACACGCCAGTGTGTTAATAATTGAGTGGCCAAAATAAACTGGCAGAATGAGAGGAAACGAGAGCGGATGCAGAATGTTGGATTTGAAGTATTTGGACTGAGCAGGTGTTCGATGAGAGGATTCACCGGTTTTTATCTCCGCCGCTGTTATCATCTAAAGCCTGAATGCTTCTCTGGTGGACTTTCAGATTGTACGCTTTGATAAAGTTGGGTTTCGAAGGTAATGAATATTTTCTGGCATTGTTGGAGCATGTTAGTCTCGACTTTAATCTAGATTAACAAACTGAGCTCCTGTCATGTGGAGCACAGAGAAAAAACACATTTTTGGAGATGTGTTGAGTGGTATGTAAAGTAGTTTGGAGCTGTACTTCATGTTTGTCACATGTTTGTAGTACATTTGGAATTGTGAAATGGATGTTGTAAATTTAGAACTCTTACCTCAGGATCCTAGTGTCATTTATAAAACAACGACAATGTATGTTTCAATAGTATGTGGATGGGTTTGAGTTTTCATAGGATTTCCTGGCAGAACAAACTGAAAAAAAATGGTTAAGTTCAGTTAAAGTGGTGTAACGGATCACAAATCTCACGGTTCGGATCACATTATGGTTTTTTAGTTACAGATTGGACCATTTTTCAAATCAGCCAAAAAAGAGAGCAGACAAAACAGTTAGAAAAACAGTACTGCAAGACACTTTTTA